TCTGAGCTGACACAATCAATCTTACACCAGATGAAATAACAGAGTGTAAGTTAATTGTTGGCACAAACAGGTTTTTATCATAAAGAACACTTCACTGATAATGTCTGTTAACATTTTAATTAGGCAGACTAATATCCAGTAACACTTTCTTTTCATATTCTTTCTCCCTCTACTACTCCATAAATTGTTTTTTCATTTGTTTACATCTTAGGTTAAATTATTTATGCTATTGTGTGTAAACTTCTGCTATATATTTGTAGATGCAGAAATGCTATGATAAGGAAAAGATCAGTAATTTCTACTCATAGTTACATAAGTGGAATACTTTCAACTAGTTTAGATCCAAAATGCGTGTTTGAGTAGAAAAGAGGGGGAAGTTTTTAAATATAATGAAAACATTTATTTACAATAGATTTACAAGCATTTATTCCTTTCTACTCATGTAGATTTTTTCAAAAAATTACTGTATGTATTCATCATTTTTATACTTTTTGTGTCATATACAGTGGTGTAGCACTGATATTTGAACAAGTCACATATAAATTCCCAAAGATAGATAAAATTGCTGGTTTCCTAAAACTGTAAGTTGAAATACACACAGACACTTCAAGACAAGTTTTGTGAGTGTGTAGTACCACAGCATCGTGCTAGTGCAGGAGAGCCCAAAGTGAAATAGTTTTTAAGTTTTAATGCCATTGCCAAGCAAAATGTTAAAAAGTGGTATACATATAAACAAGCATTAACTGTGAAAAGGAAATAAAATTTTGAAAAAAAATCCATTTTAATAGCCCAATGTTATTATCATAGTTAATTTAAAAAAAATATGACCACCACACTGACAGTATCCCTATCCTACACGCATCTTTTGTTCTTATTCTTGATTGTTCATAACACAGAATACGTTTGTGGGAAATAGTCACCTTCATTTTTGAAGTGTTACATGAAGATTTATATCGTAGAACTTACCTCAAAATTAAGGTCTCGAATCAAAATGTCTCCATTAGGCGTTGCTAATGGAACATGATCAAACCTATGGGTAAAATTGACACATTACTACCAGTATTATGTATAGTTCTTTACCACCTGGTCAACTCTGTGGAAGAACAGGATACTAGAACACAAGCAGGTGCTATGAAGGTATAGAGTTGCACGTGGCCAGAACTGGACTGTTTCTTGGATTTAAAAAAAAAAAAATTAATTTAATTTAAAGAAGAGTAGGAGGTATCTTGACAAACATTAACTGAAAGCTTCTTCCTGGCATATATAGCAAGTCTTGGCTAAAAGGGTTGTAGAAGTCTAAAAGGGTTGTAAAAGTCGCTAAAAGGGTTGTAAAAAAAGACAAGGACAACTATATAGGCAAGCCATAGCTGTCAAGTGCCTCAAAATGTATATGGAGAATGTTGGAAAGCCAATGCAGAAATTCTAGTAAGAGATGGGGTCTAAATAATGGGAAATATAATGATCTGGGTAGTCATGTTCCAGGAGACAGCAGGCCAGGTCAGAAGGGAGATTGATTCTGGAGAACAGGTAGTATCAGTAGTCCACAGTAGAGAGTACTAAGGTTGTAGAACGCCTTATGCAGTGAGGATTGAGAAGAAATTCTGAAGACATTGTACAGAAGGAAGTGGATATAAAGTATCGTTATATATAACAAACTGTATTAAAAATAGTGATATAAGGCAAGACTAAAAAGCAGGTTTACATTTTCTACACATTACACTTTCTATACATACTTGATAAGATTATCAGTGTTGATAATTTCTCCACTCCCAGGTATCAAGGGAATCGTTTGGGTTCTATCTCCATCTTAAATTTAAAAAAAAGAAACAAGTATTAGAGACTAGATTTATGTCTGCCAAGGTGTGAGTATTGTGCATTAAACTTCCGTCATAATTACCTTTTTCATGTTGCAATATCATAGTACGCTGATATCTGCCCCTGTTCAAGTCCTTTAGTACTTGCATTAATTCTGTAATTCGAGCTGTGAAGCTAAAATAAGGATGCATTAAGAATTAATCTTCAGAAATATTTTAAGGATTTTATTGTTACGCAGAAAAATAAACTTTTAATAAGTACCCTAAATTGTCAAAATTAAAATCATAATAAGGAAGAACTGGAATCACATTTTTGCAGTGTGACTGGGATACAGTACTTTCTGAATGCAAGCTGTTTCAAAACATGTGTGTTTATTTTTTGTTGTATGTCTTGGGCTGGTTACCTCAAGCACTGGATACTGCAAAACTCTGAAATATAATCAATTTTGCTCCAGAACGGCATTAAAAGCTTCCTAATTCCAACAAATTAATCTCCTAACCTCTGCAGTTTAGGAAACTGGCCCTTAAAATGGTGAAATTTTTAACACTTTAGAAACACTTTAAGGTAAAACTTTCATATTAAAATATTCCCCAACAACGTTACATTAAGATGGAAAATGGTTTACTTCCATATTGCCCATCACTGCTGATCTCACATTCAAAACATCTGCAACTACTAATAGGCTCAGAAATTACCAATGTAATTGAAAACATTAATTTTCCCTAATATTCTCACAGTTATTAATATTAATGTCTATATTTTTGCTGCACTGTGCAAAATGAGTGCACATTTTTAAATTAATGGAGATAGGATATCTCCTAGAACTGGAAGGGACCTTGAAAGGTCATCGAGTCCAGCCCCCTGCCTTCACTAGCAGGACCAAGTACTGATTTTGCCCCAGATCCCTAGGCGGCCCCCTCAAGGATTGAACTCACAACCCTGGGTTTGGCAGGCCAATGCTCAAACCACTGAGCTATCCCTCCCCCCATTTGTTTTGTTTTAATCTACAGTCCATTTATAAATAACAGCTATGGAGGATAGGAACTACATATATCGAAAATAAAATAGTGTTAAGCAGCTCTGAATACCAGTGATCAATCTTACCCAGCCAATCTGGTCATTTCACGGCCTGCCAGGACTATTCTGCCCAGAGCTTGAGACATTCTCAACAACATTCTTCCGCTTTGGTAGTAATCCTTAAATAGCAAAATACAACTATGTTTACTTATGTGAACTAACAGAATTCAAGCAATTACTATATTTTACTTATTTCTGTTCTACATTACTTACCTCTAGGAGTTCTGAATGGGTACTCTTTTGATGACGAGGATGAGCTAGGTTCAGAAACGGACGACTAACGACCAGGTAACCAACCACAGTAGCTAGGTCTGCAATATTTAAAAGTAAATGTTTTCTAGCAAGAAAAGTTAAATCAGAACATAAAATGAACACATTAAAATATTTGTAACACTACTTGTACTATAAATAGCAGTCCAATAGCATTGGGAAAACACTTACATTTGGCAATAATAGTATCTATGAATCCCATAGAAAACCGAAACAAGATGAAATTATGCAAATGTTCCACCTGGGGAAAAAAATGTGAAAAAATGTAGCATACACAAATATTTGCCATGCACCCTGCAATTACAATAGAGAAGCAAATTTAATTCTAAAAAAAGCATTTATTTTGCAGTAAATCACGAAGGCCCCAATGAAGATTGTGACCTAATTGTGTTAGGCACTGAGCAAATCCAGATAGACAAAGTCCCTACCAGCAAGTGCTTACAATGTAATCTAAAAGAACACACAAACAACTGAACAGTAAATGAGAGGAAAGTTTGCAAGTGATGGAAAGAAAGGACCTGGGTAGTGAAATAAAGGTCATTGTTAGATAGGTTAGCTATAGTTTCAAATAATCAGGAAATGAAAAAAATATTAAATAAAATCAGCTAATCCTAACTGCTAAAACATCTAGCTATAACTGGTTCACCTTTTTGGAGGTGTCACAACAGAAGTGGATCTGGAGGAGGCATTCGATGAAAAGGCTAATAGTTTCACAGACTAATTCAAGGAGGATGTACCACTTACAAGGAAGTATGGAAAAAAGTGTGGAGATGTTTACAGGAGAAGTGAACAGAGATATTAAAATCTCATGTCACTGGCAGAACGAAGATGGCGAAGGCAGCAAAAAACAAAAGTGGATAGGTAATGGAACAAGAGTTGAAAAACCTTCAAGGTGAGGACATGAATTCTGAATTTTGGTGTTATGGGAAAGAAAATTAGTGAATGGATTCAAAGACTGGGGGGTTGTTCCCACAGTCAGAACGATAGGCTAGAAAGAGTCGTAGTGGCAGTTTTTTGAATGGACCCAAGTCAGGTAAGATGGGTGTCAAAAAAGTCCAAAGGTGTGTGTGTGTGTGTCACAGTAATCAAGATGAGAGGTGAGGGCCTAATCAAGAATTTTAGGGAAACAATTAAATTATATACTTTTGCCAGTGTGTGGGCCCCTCATGCATTTCTGTATGGCCAATTAAAGTCCATAGCTTTCATTTCTTCCTTCATATTTCCCACTTGTATTCAGCAAAGGAATAGGATCACCACCCATAATTCTTTATGGAATAGGAGATGCATGCTCTCTCTCAAGACTGGCATTGCAGTCACTCAATTAACTAACAGGGGCTACTACAGAGGTTAGTACATGTCATCTTTTCATTAGGGTCCAAATAGCACATTCCTCAAGACTGCTCCAAAATCTGCCATCTTCTGTATGACACTAGTGAGATTGCAGTGTAATTGTAACTATGTCAGTCCCAGGATATTAGAGAGACAAAGTGGGTGGGGTAATATCTTTTACAGGACCTGAAGAGCTCTGTGTTGCTTTAAAGTTTGTCTCTTTCTCACCAACAAAAGTTGGTCCAATAAAAAAATATTACCTCACCCACCTTGTCTCACTAGTGAGATTATCACTCACTTGGCCAGTAGCACTCTTGCAAATTTACATACTGTGTGCTAAAACTAATTTAAGTAGCAAATTCCACACACACACACAAAACCCCCACTAAAGTGCTGGCACATATCAGTAGTTTCAATGAACACTACCTTTCAAGAAGTTTAGAGTTTATTAAAACATTAGAAATCCAGGAAATTTAGAGTTAAATTTCTAAGGGTACGTCTACACTGGGATTAAAAACATCAAGAGGACTGTACAATGCAAATTTAGAGAAATGTAAAACTCATGGCTGAGTAACAAGGCAGATGAGATTTAATCCTATGCAGACACAAATGATATGAAGAACTTCTATGATACTCTGAGGACAATCTATGGGCCGAGGTCATCAGGAACCTCTCCGAGTGCCGATGGCACCACACTGCTCATTGTCAAAGAAAAGATACTGAAAAGGTGTGCAGAACATTTTAACAATATCCTCAATCAACAATCATCTATTAGTGAGGAGGCAATTGACTGTTTTCTGCCATGCTTACAGATGCCTTTCATGACTGTGACACCGGGATTGGCATCAGATACCGGACTGATGGCAAGCTTTTCAATCTGAGGAGACTACAAGCAAAGACCAGTGTACAGGAAGTGACTGTTCATGACCTTCTGTTTGCTGATGATTGTTCCCTGAATGCCAAATCTGAGTCTGACATGCAGCAGGGTATGGACTATTTCTCTTCAGCTTGTGACAATTTTGGTGTAACAATCAATATCAGGAAGACAGAAGTGATGTACCAGCCTGCACCATGAAAGCATTACGTAGAGCCTATTATCACAGTGAATGGTCAAATCCTCCAGGCAGTCGACAAGTTCACCTACCTCAGCTGTACACGGTCACGTGCAGTTTCCATCAATGATGAAACCAATACCAGAATTGCCAAAGCAAGTGTCACCTTTGGCAGACTACATACAAATGTGTGGGAGTGCAGAGGCATTAGTCAACAAACAAAACTGAAGGTCTACAAAGCCATTGTGTTGCCAACAACTTTGATGTATGCATGAGAAACCTGGATGGTGTATAGACACCATGCTATGAAGCTGAATCACTTTCGCGTGGGTTGTGTGAGGAAACAAATGAGGATAAGATAGCAAGAAAAGGTTCCAGATACTGAGGTTCACATGTGGGCAGACATTCCAAGCATCCATACTCTGTTGATGAAATCACAGGTAAGATGGGCAGGCCAAGTCACCAGAATGTCAGATGAGTGACTGCCAAAGATGATCTTTTATGGTGAGCTAAAGGGGAGAAAGCACTCTCAGGAAGGCCAGAAGAAATGTTTCAAAGACTCTCTCTAGTTATCCTTGAGGTGTTTCAACACTGACCCAGAGTTATGGGAAGATCTTGCTAATGGATTGTTCTACCTGGCAAACTGTCGTGCATACTGGAGCTACAGCCTATAAGCAGAGGAGAACTACTGAGGCAGAGCAGAAGCACCAGCAGTGTAAATTTCACAACAGCGGTATGTCCGTTGTTAATCAAGTAACCCATAGCGGCATCTCTTGTTCAGTGTGCCACAGACTGTTCAAAGCTCAAATAGGCCTGATCAATCACTCATGTGTTCACAGAAACTAAATCAATCAGTGATGTAATGGTTATCTTTGAAATTGAAGGATGAGCAACACCACCACCTTTTAAGAAGTTCAGAGTTTAACAAAACTCATTAGAAATCCAGGAAATTTAGAGTTAAATTTCTAAGCGTACGTCTACACAGGAATTCAAAACCAACAGCTGGCCTGGGTCAGATGATTTGGGCTCTGGGGTTGAAAAATCACTGTGTGCATGTTCGAGCTTTTCGGTGGTAGCCTCCACCCTTGCAGGGTCCCAGAACTCGGGCTCCAGCCTAAGCCCGAATGTCTACACAGCAATATTTAGCCCCGTAGCCCGTTTTTTTACCCCTGTGTAGACATACCTTAAGAAGCTACGATCAATTTGGTGCATGTGTGCCAGACTGTTTGCAGCAAGATTTCTCCCCCTCATAATACAGTTTTGAACTGAAGGAAGGATTGAGGCAAAAACAAAAAGACTAGCACAAATTCAGCATTATGAACCACCATAACAATATTCCTTAGAATTTGGTTAAGTGAAAATTTAGCATTTAAGCTATAATCAAGTATTTTATGCTCTTACCAGTTTATGAAAGGTTTTGTGAATCGTCTGTTTTTCCCTTAAATTCCCATTATAAAAAGCAATTTCTTCACTAAAAAAAAAAAGAGACAATTCATTTAATTTTTAATATAGACAATCCTTGCAGAGCGACCAGCCTGAAAAAGTTAGCTATAAAAACAAAGCTCTAAAAAAAGACATTATTTTAATTACCTTCTCACCAAAGATAAGTTCATAATATTACCACAAGACAACTTTAGGACACAGGTTTATAGTATCTCAACTACAGTTTGCCTTTTAAAATGAGTAAATAATGGATATGGGAGTTATTAAATAATTAGTCCACATAGAAATATAAACATTTTCCTCAAAATTAATTCATTAAGTTTTAGAATTTACTTGAATAAGTACCTTGAAATACTACAAAGATTTCATTTACAGTTAGTCAACAAATAAATCCATACCTGTTTGTAATGAGCCGTGAATTGACAAATCTGTACTCCCCTTCATATTTTTGTTCAGCAATTGTCATCTTGCCAATGGGCCTCCTTAGACGCGTAAGGAAAAAGCCTGAAACTATCAAGTAGGCCATCATGGTAGCTGGACCCTGTGAATATTAAAGAAAAAAAGACAAGACTATAAAAACTCTAGAACTAAGGGGCTGCACACTTGTAATTTCTGTAGGTCAAGCACACTGGACCCACTAGAGGCTCCTTGCATCCTTCTATTCCTCCTGCCACCAAGCTCCCTGTGTGCCACCCTCCCCGGCCCCTCTATTTCAGGAACTCCTGTCCCCTTACCCACTATACCACTGTCTCCCACTCTTCCTCCATGGCAGGGGCTCTGTGTCTCCCCCGCCCCCATTCCTGGTGCTCATTTCCTCCCCCCCCCTTCCTCCCTACTTTCCCCTCTCCAGATCCCTGCTTCTATGCCCCACACACACACCGTGTGTTAGGGGGAGCACTTCCCCCTATGATCACCCTATGCCCTCCAGGTACCAGCTTCCCCCACTACCACCAGCACCCCACTCCTCTTTGAGTCGCTGCTTCCTCCCCCTCCACCACCACTGCTCTATCCCTCCAGTCCCTGCTGCTTCCCCCCTACCCTCACATTCTTGCCCCTGTCCACACTGGATCCCCATTCCATCTCCCTGCTCGCACATCCTCCCCCCACCCCCCGCCAGTTATTCCCCCACCCATCCTCAGATCTCTGATTCCCACCCTATAATCCTTCCCTGTAAAGGTCTCTTATTTCTGGTGCAATCCAGACTTCACACACTGTTCCCACACAGCAAGTTAAGCTGCTGCTACTCTGATGTATGTAGGTAGCAGCCACAGGTGGCAGAGAGATTAGTCTGGGAGCCTAATATTCCTGAATATCAAGGAATAATATTCCAATTTGCACCTATTCCAATTTGTGCCATAGATTTCTAGAACATTCCCTGAAATTTTGAAATTGATCGACACAGCATTCCAAAGTTATGGCATTGCAAATAAATGCCATCAAGTGTTGGACCTTGCTTCACTCAGCCAAAAAGGATAAGCATTTCTTTTAGCAATAATTTTACAACTTCAAAATCTTTGAAAAAATAGTATAACTCATGCCATCACAGTGATGAAGGATTAAAATCTGATTTCAATTCAAAGCTAGAACCCAGACATTTTAATAGGTGCTTATGTAACATGTTAAACTTTCAGAGTGCCATACCACATACATGGAAGTTTTAGGTTTTTTTATTTTAAAATCAAATTTCTTTTCTTGTAGTTGCTTTATAGTTAATGTTGCATTAACACAGACTTACTAAATTATGTAACCATCTGAAAACAGCAAGAATTAATTTGGTTTATTTGAAAATAAATTTTATTGTAACACTGGCTACAGTTTTGCCACGATTAGTCAAAAGATTTGCCACTTAACTAGCTTGCTTACCCTTACTTCAAACCTGACAATGCACACACTGGTTACTTGCTGCTGGAAACTGAACATTTTTGTTAATGTATAAAGTTTGTAAGATTTGGCTTTTAGACCAGTAACAGGATTGGAAAATACTTACTAATTTTACTATTTTGACAGATTTTTATTTTTAGGTTTACTACAACTTTAGCACCACTAAAACAGTTACCCTAAACAAAGAAAAAACTTTCATTTCCTTCCTATAGCAAAAGTGCACAGCATTCCCTGTTAACAAGGCAACATTGAAAACAGTTGCATAGTGGAATCCAAGATGATATCATTTGCTATTCCAAATACAGAGAAATAAATGTGCTATCTCAGATGTAACTGAGAAGAAACTCTCTTACTAGAAACTGGAGACTATCACATGTTCTACAATTCTGAAGTTTAATAATTATGCAGGTCACCTGTAATTTTTAAGATAACCCTATACATTCCTCCCTCTTGAGGCACATAGACAGAAACCCTACTATGAATTCTCTGGTGCGGTCTTCAATGTGAAATTATGGGAAATCAGTAAGCAACATTTATCCAGGGGAAAAGAAAGTGTGATATGTGCTGAAGGAGTACTCTTTGAAAGAAAATTAGGCTCCCACTATAAAGTATAATTTCTTTTATCTTTCTACAACTCAAGAACAGAAGTAAGATTAGCAAATAGTAATGAAGCGAGAATTAGACAGAAAACAACTGGTCTGTATGAGGACTTCTTTCCCCTGAGAAGATAAAGCAAATAATTTAAAAAGAGCTTGTACTGATTCTTTTAAATTTTATATTAAGTCTAAGATGTTGCTTCACACATTTCTGTCTTCTGTCCCAAATCTGTGCAACAAACAGCTCCCCTTTGGTGTAGTAGGTTTTCTAGAGATAGGAAATATGTTTTTGCAGAGTGTAAACAACCGTGGTACAAAGCATAATCCAGCTAGAAAAGGTACTGCACAAAATGAGCCTTTTGTGCATCTGATGAAAGGAAACTAAGAACCTGCAGGTCTTTCTAGAAGTCAGCTGTTCTCCTGAAAGTCTCCAAATTCTCACATATCAGTTTTTTTATTTTGTTTGCTTCAAAATAGTGAGCTTTTACAGCACTTCATAACTAGTATGAAAACAGATGCCCATTTTTTGAAAGAATACAGTATATTTAAAGTAACTGAGTATGATTTTCATCAATCTCCAAATGGATAAAATAGCCAAGACACTGAAGGGTTTATTTATTTATTTCAAGCATAGTAAACTTTTTTTTAAAAACAGATTTTTTACCTGAGCTCCTATTGCATTTGTCAGCTTGAAGATATACAAAACTATATCCAAAAATGGCTGCAACAGAAAAAAATTAGTATTAGAAGACACAGAAGAAAACATGGATATAATCCGTCAAATAATCAGATTTTGTAGCATATTAATCCGGTACATACTACAGTTAACACAAATTTATAAAAATATACATTCCATAATTAAACAAAATGCTGGAACAAAAAGCAACATTCCAGAGAGCCTGATAATTTAGGCTATATATTTTGCTCAGCAATTGAAAATGCCATCACATGTGCTTAATACTAATTTTCAAACAGCCTGCAGAGTACATTAAAAAAATTATACTTCCCAATTTTGTTTAAGCTTGTTAAACTGAACAACACAGGGCTAAATCCTACCCTTTCTAAAAACAATCATGCACAGTGGGGATGGACTGGAAGGAGGAGTGACAACATACAGCTGGCCATGCATATGGCACAAGGGACATTCAACTTTGAAGGGCAGGATGACACCAGATTGTCATGACACTGGCTGATACAATTTATCACTTCTCTGAGCTGCAGCAACTCAACTGCAACTTTGGATGCTAGTTACTACATACTAGACTGGCCCTTAACCTGAAAACCCTCCCTTTTGGAGATGCAGTTCACATCCCCAGCATACTAGCTAGGTGTATCGCCTAACACATTTGTGCTCTCTGAAGTAATCCTGGCTGACTGCTTGAACAAGCATAAAATGGTCTCCCTGGCACAATAATATACCAGACGGAAGGATTTCACTCTTGTGAGTTGTGTCCTAATGGTGGTCAGACAACTGTTATGGGAGATAGAAGCCAAACTGAAAGGGGTTATTTGTTGATCAAAATATGTAAAAAAAAAAATAATACTAACTTATGGCAATTTAAAACATTACAAATATTATAAGTTGCTGTAACTGATATGGGTAGCTTTTTTTTAAAATGGACCACAGGTGTCTGAGTTGTGAAAACAAGACCTTAAAAAATTTAACTTCCAACAGGCTTCCAATGTACATTAGAACATTATTGGGAAAAAGTCACTGTTTTCTCATAATAATGTTCTAATTTATTTTATCAATATTCATCTTTAACACTTAAATGAAAGCTATATAGCTTTTCTAATCTCAGAAGTCTGAAGGATCATACCAGGAAAAGCATTTCTTATTCCAATGCATGTTGTTTTCAAAGTGCTGTATATTGCATCAGAGATTGAATATGTATACAATGTAAAATTGCTCATACAGGGTTACAGTAATTTGTGTATCCCTCAGAATGCTCTTATCCACCTGTATTTACTTAAAGAAATAGAGGAGTACACCAGTATCTTAAAAGCAGGAACCATAGAAACATACTTCATGGTAACTACATTTTAAGAAGAGATGTATCAATTGTGTGACTCTCCTTCTTTCTTACAAAAGAAAACATATCTAATAGTTTTTTAGTTTTGTTACCAATACCAGTCATGAAACAATTTTCAAAATGTTTTCAGCATCATTTGTTTACTTTGTATATCTCACTCAGTTTGGTCAAGCAAGTAAATATCATTGGACAAAGGCTGTGTTTGTATTTGCCTATAAACAAGTAGAGTGCAATGAACGCTTACTGCAGTGGTCACCAACCCATCGATCCTAGAGACTCTCCCAGTTGACCGCAATCTCCTGTGGTGCAAGGGGGCTGTCGCTATGGCAGGGCCTGCCTTCCCCAGCCACTCCCAGAAGCGGCCAGCGTGGCTCTGCGGCCTCATTGGGAGACAGGGGGATCTCGGCAAGCTGCTCCTGCCTGCGAGCACCATTCCCACAGCTCCCATTGTCCAGGAATGGGGAACTGTGGCCAATGGGAGCTGCGGGGGTGGTGCCTGCAGAGAGGGGCAGTGCGCGGAGCCACGGAGCCCTAGGGGGCGCAGGGGCGTGCTGGCCACTTCCGGGAGCGGTGTGGGGCCGAGGCAGGCAGGAAGTCTGCCTTAGGCTCACTGCACCACCAACTGGGAGCTGCCCATGGTAAGTGCCGCCCGGCGGGAGGCTGCACCCCAATCCTCAGCCCTGAGCTCCCTCCCGGAGCCAGACCCTGAACCCTCTCCTGCACCCCAACCCTCTGCCCCAGCCCTGACCCCCCCAGAGCAAGCACCCCACATCTCCTCCTGCACTCCAACACTCTGCCAAAGCCCAGAGCCCCCTCCTGCACCCAAACTCCCTCCCAGAGCTTGCACCCCAACCCCCTGCCCCAGGCTCAGCCCAGAGCACCCTCCCTCACTGCAAACCCCTTGGTCCCAGCCCAGAGCCTGCACCCCTTCCCGAACCCCAATCACCTGCCCCAGCCCAGTGAAAGTGAATGAGGGTAGGAAAGAGCAAGTGACAGAGAGAGGGGGGATGAAGTGAGCGGGGCAGATCCTGGGTTACCCTTAAATTCAAAAAGTGATCTTGGGTGTAAAAAGGTTGGAGACAGCTGACCTATTGTATGACTCCAGATACATGAATATTTCACTTTAATCTATAGTCAATTTCTAATATTTGGACTGAAATACTGCAAGGGAATATTCTTCTATAAAACTAAACTGGTTCCTTTAAAGAAAAATATCTGTTTCATAGACATTTTTCTGTTGATGTTCGATTTTGTGAAAGTCTTTTGCTTTATCCAACCAGGTCCTAATGAAACATGCCAGACTAGATGCCACTCTTATAAAATTGCGAAGCATTAGATTTATATTCACAACAAATCTAGCATTGTCCGACCAAAGTTCCATGCAGGAGTAATTTCAAGGACAGAAAGTCATCCTAATAAGTATTTTTAAACCTGCTAGCTCTGCTCACTTACCCACCCAATTACTTCTGCACATAGAGCCAACTTCTAGCCACTTCGACAACAAAAACTCCTCCACTAAATTACAAAACTGCCTTCAGGATAGGCACTTTTGCTTCCCAGCTCCAAAGTTAGGAAACACACCTGAAACCATTAAGTAAAGAGGGCATTTCCTTATTCATCCCACCCTTCCCCACCCCTGAAACACAAACCGCTCACATATTAAAATCAAAAAGAAAAGACAAATAAGAATGAGAATTTTCTTTCCCTTGAAAACTAAATAATTGACAAAAGACCGTGCTCTCGCAACCTTCTCAAATGGTGAATATTAAAAGAAAACCAAAGGAAAAATTACTGTTTGTAGAAGGAGCATGGAAGGGGGGGGGGGGGAAATCACAAATAAAGAAAAAGACAACTGCGTAAGGAAAAAATTTCCCCTCACATAACTCTGAAATAAACTCACTAAATATAAAGTGGACTCAATACTATACAATAATTCATAAATGAAAGTGATCTTCCTAAACTCTGACAAGATTTATCACCCATACATTTATTCAATGCTATTTGTATTTCTTGACTCTTGTAAATGTTTGCACAGTGTTTAATGATTCCGAATGACCACTATTAATAAAAGATTAAAGTTTTATTAAAGGAACTCACCTTACTAAGGTTTGAGTAGAGGTCCACTACACTGTTACAGAATTTTTCCACATCCTGTGTGAGCAGTTGATCTGGATTAGCTATTCTGTTGTCCAGATTTCCCATTTTGTAATACGTATAAGCCCTAAAACATCAACAACAAAACAATGATTGAAAAACTTGTTACGTTTTACCTAAAATGAATCAATGATTCAAGTAGTATTAAATGAGTAGCTGAAAGCCACTTCAGAACATTTATAAAATCCACAAACAATCCCATCTCTTATTTGATATTTACTTGGATTTATTTTACAGTTGATACATTACACTGCACTTTTAACATTTTAAGCATTAAAAAAGTTATGACTTACTGTAGATATTCCTCATAGAGGTATTTGGTGAGTCTTACTCGGAAACAAAGTTTAAGTTCATTTAGCCCATACTTCAAAAAGTTATTTACCAGGGAGATCTAGGAATAAATAATAGTAATACAAGTTAATACAAACAAACCCAAAACAGCTGGATTAAATATATCATGCAAATTGCTTGCTTAAATTGGTGAAAGTACAAAATACAATTTTACCTAGTCAGACTTTGTACACAAATTGATTTAAATTAACTAAGACCCAGATCTTGCAAATGTCTAAAACATCAGAATAGTCTCATTTAAGTCAATGACACTATTCACATACTTAAAGTCAAGCAAGTGCATAATTATTTACAGGTATCATGGCCTAATATTTCTATTTCTATTTTAAAAACCTTTGGATCATCAAATGAGTACTAACAGTACATACTATAGTACTGATAAAAGTTAAAACTGGTCTTATTGTGTCAATAGATTTAGCTCAGAACTCTGTTACAACCAAACATTTAACTCTCATAATCAGTTTTAGAATGTATTTACCATCTCAGCCCCACGCCCCACCTTTAAAATGATATCATTTCTGGCCTATTATATATTTCTGGCCTATTTTAAAATTTGGTTGCATTTTTCTTTAATTCCTGATAATCATTCCCCTTAATGTGCTGGGTTTATTTCCAGAACACTTTGTTTTAGCATTCCTATATGAACAGGGTGTAAGTCACTTGAGAAAAAAACCTGAATGTTAAAAACACTGGATGTGTTTTGAAAGATGGTTAATGTGAAAAATCTTACCTTTATTTTGAATCTGCTTGAAAAACAAAACTAACTAAGTAGTTACCTCATTGCAAGCCTTGACAGCTTACTGTAGTCAATTGGCAACAGGGATTTTAAATTACTCATCAGTGCTAACAGACAAACCTAGCAGTCTAAAAGAGTAAGTCAATTCTGCTGAATCAATAGGCAGCCAATAGTGAAATCTGCACTCAAATATTTCCCTACTTCTTACGGCCAGAAAGTGAAATCAAACCACCCATTTTAAAAACAGTTGACTTCTAAAAGTTCTGAGAAATTCATTTGGAATCTCTTCATGATTTCTGAATTTATATTTTAAATCACTTTTAACAAAGATGGCAAGGGAAAAAAAGCACTTACAGCAGGCATGGCAGCGATGAAGTTGAATAAGTATTTCTTGAAATCTTTTCTGCTGCGACCAATGATAGCACTGCAAACCACCACATGCTATGTGTTAGTTATGAGAGAAAGCAATTACTACACGCACCAGTGTTTTCCCAAGGGGAGGGCAGGTGGGTGGCCCTGACTAGTTCAGGAGGGCAGGGGTAACAGGGTATAAGAAAGGATCACTGTGGAAAACTGCAGTACCAACTGTTGTGTCAACTTCATCTTCAGGTAAAGTGGAAGGTGGCTCACTGAAAGCCACCTGCCTTCTCTCTCCTTGTTCTTGTTGTGGCCCCTAACATAAGAGGCTACAGGAGGAGCTCACATATACTCTTCTCTGCTCCCATGGCACTTAGTAACCTTGGGTAACAAATGGACACTACTCACCCCAGCAGCATACAGCCTTGGGGGGGGGAGGGAGAAGGGAAGGTGCAAGGTGGAAAAGTTAAGTTAGCAAAAAGTATGTAGAAGAAAAAGAGGAATGAGGTGGGGGGGAATACAGAGAAGAGAAAAAGAAAAAACAACAGAAGATGGGAAGTGAGAAAACAAATTGACAGGAAAAGAGAATGAGTACTTGCAACCATATCAGAACATGGTGTAAGGAGACTGAGTAGGGCCATCTGCCAATCCATTGCAATGGGGGGGAGGGGAAGAGGGAGAAGGAATTGGAACCACGGCTCCAAGTTGTTTATGGTCTGGAGTAGAAATTACCCAAGACAAAAATAATTCTTTAAGCTTATATACAAACCAAAGTAACAAAGTGTTCCAGATTTCATAAAAAAATTTAATGGCATTTTAGAACTATATTTATCACCTAAAAAATCTGTATGATGTCTCAGCTAGAAATTACTCAGTGTATAAAGTCTCTGATACATAAAAGATAACTGTGAAGCAAAAAACAAAAATACAAGAGGACTACTTTTTCCCCTTTAATATTTGCTTATAAGGTGTTATCAGCTTCAAGACTTTTTTTTTTTTTATTTTTTTTAAATGTTCCTCTTCAAAACACTTGAAATATCAAGAATACTAGGTCCTCACTTATCTTGGTTTGCTGGGGGTCCTTGGCAAAACCTTAGGAAAACGTCAATATAGTGATAGCTTACAACGCTACAACCTGAGCTGTAGCTCTCCTTCACATAAATGCGAAGGGAATACTGAGGGCTTTTCTACACAGAAATGTTTTAGTGGTATAAATTAATTCGTGAATATAAACCACTATAGTTATACTGGTATAACTGCCAGCATGGATGCACTTATTCCAATATGAGTGCCTTTGTTGTTGTTGTTTTGTTTTAGCTTAGGTCGCTTTGCAAGGGGTTTAAGCTAAGCCAAAATAAAGCCAGTCTTATTCCAGACTAACAGCATTCACACATGGAGTTATGATCAATATAAGGTGACCAGTGGAAGGAGAGCTGTAGCTCAGCTTACAGCTTCATGTGGGATCACCATTAAGGTCCACTTTTTCCATGCTGCCCCCTATTCTTCAAGCTGCAACCCACTTCATTTAAATGTCTCCTTAAGATTCAGCTGAGCCATAAAGCACACCAGGTAATAATAAGAACTATAAAAAAATCCTTAATACCAACAAGATGTGTACATCCTTAAACGAAACGGAAGTTATTGTATTGAGAGAGGCAACGTGGGTGAGGTAGTACCTTTTATTGCAGTGTTTGCCAGACTTGGGATGCCGCTCGTGTAGGGAAAGCCCCTGGCGGGCCGGGCCGGTTTGTTTACCTGCCCCGTCCGCAGGTCCGGCCGATCGCGGCTCCCACTGGCCGCGGTTCGCTGCTC